GAGTGAAGCTAAAGGTAGAGCGAGTCCAAGCTACAACTTGGAGGGTGTTGATTGATGAAGTCGCTGTTATGGAACTATGGGGGTTGGGGCTAGCCTGATTTTGCCTCACAGTTTAATTTCCTTTGTTGTTTAAGTTGTTTAGATGTTTTTTGTATTGTCGAACCTAGGTCCAGCCTTTATAGAAGGCTTAATGATTTATTGTCCAAGAGGTTATCTAATGTGTTGTTTTTGCTAGTGGGGATGGATGGGCAGGGGGTCTATGCCTCTGTTGGAATGATCGGAATATTAATATGAATGTGCTTGCCTACAACTCTAGATTCATTCACTGTGATGTCTTAGATAAGCAAATAAACATTAACTTCCTCTTTACTTTTATGCATGCTTACTCTCAAAAGAATCTGCAACCTCAACTGTGGAACAATACTATTAATCTAAGGCCTACAACTAATGTAACTAACCCATGGCTTCTCCGGGGAGCCTTTAACAATATTACAAATCTTATTGAGAAGGTTGGAAGCAATAGAAGTGTTCACAATCATATTATAAACTTTAACAATTTCTTGAGTGAAGGTAGTTTAATTTACATCCCTGCTTCTGGTGTGCCTTTCACTTGGTGTAATGGCCATAAAGATAACATCATCATTTATGAAAGACTGGACAAGGCTATTTCTAATTCTAACTGATTAAACTTATATCTTAATGCCTCTCTCCATAATTATCTCATATTTAACTCGGACCACAGCCCAATCGTATTGGATTCCAATAATTTTTGTAATACTAATTGTTTAAGAAGTAATATGTTCAAATTTGAGTCTATGTGGTTAACTCATCCGGACTTTAAGAATATTGTGAGTAAAGCTTGTAGTGATGACATGCATGGTAACTCTTGTGATAAGGTTAGGGGTTACTTAGGTAGATTCAAATTTCTCATTAAGAAGTGGAATAAGGATGTCTTTGGGAACATCTTTGAAAAAAAAAGGTTCTTATGAGTGAGTTAGATAAAGCCCAACAGGATAGCATGAGTATACCCGACTCTAGTCTTATGTTAAATAAGGAGAATGTAATTAAAAAGCAACTTTAACAAGTTCTCATAAACGAGGAAACCTACTGGGCTCAGAAAGTCAGAGTTAATTGGCTTCAACTTGGAGATAGAAATACTAGGTACTTCCAAACTGTGACTAATATTAGGAAGAAAAGGAATGAAATTTCCAAAATAAAAGACCACCAAGGCAACTGGTAGTGGAAAAGCGATGGATTGGAAAATGTTTTTGTTGAAGACTTTAAGCTTTGATTCACAGCTTCCACCACCCTTTCTAACTCAAGCATTAATAACTATGTGGATATCATTGAACCTTGTATAAGTGAGGTGCACAATTCTTTCTTGAACAAGCCTATCCTTGATGGTGAGGTTTTTGAAGCTTTTAAAAGTATTAGGGCTCTCAAAGCTCTTGGACTTGATGGTATTCATGTCGCTTTTTATCAAAATTGTTGGGACCTTGTTGACCATTATGTTACGGACATGGTTAAAGATTTCTTCAACACAGGCTCAAGTCTAAGGTTGATAAGCCATACAAATATTGCCCTTATACCTTGTTGATGCACAAAATCAGTGGGGACTTTGATACAACAGAAAATGTGAAGTTTGTGACCTTCGCTAAATTGCTCCAGTCACTAGTATGGATAAATATGTAAATGGATAAAGACAGGGAAGCAAACGCAAGATGTACGTGGTTCACCCAGATTGGCTAAGTTCACGGAGTAGAGGAGTTCTCATTAATTGTGAAGGGTTTACACAAGTACATAGGTTCAAACTTTCCTTTAGTGAGTACTAGTGAATGATTTAGTACAAATGACATTAGGAAATATTGTGGGAGAATAATCTCCTTTTATAGAAGAGAGTCTCTAGCTTTGTTCTGACACTAACACGTGTTGTGTTGTGATTGTATTCTGATGTTGACACATGTCATGCTATGATTGGCTTCTGATGTCGACACGTGTTGCGCTGTGATTGGCCTCCTGGTTGGAGGGAAACTCTTCTAGGTCCTTGAAGGTATAACGTTGATTGGTACTCAGTAGTTTCAAGATTGGTCAAGTATGGTACGAACATACCTAATGTGGATAACCCTGAATTGGTTTCTAATTTGAGACCGATTAACTTACGTAATGTTACTTATGAGATTATCACTAAGATTATGGTCAATCGAATTAAACCTTTACTAATACATTGCATTTCCAGGAATCAAGGAGTGTTTGCTTCTAGAAGATCTATCTAGGATAATATTCTGATTGCGCATGAAGTTTTCTCATCATTTAAGGGCAAGAAAGGTAAGTGTGGAGCTATGGCTATCAAATTAGATCTTGAAAAGCCTTATGATTTTATTAGCTGAGATTATATCAAAATTGTTCTAGTGAAATTCGGGTTCAACAATCATTGGATTAACCTCATTATGGAATGTATTATGTCTACTTCTTTTTCTGTGTTGGTTAATGGTAAAGCTCATAACTATTTTCATCCGTCGAGAGGGATTATACAAGGTGATCCTCTCTATCCCTACATCTTTATTCTCTGCATGGAGCCCCTGATAAGACATTTAGACAAAATTGGTAGGTCTCTTAGAAACAATGTTGGTCTACTAATTCCTCCTAGGGGGTTTATAATTACAAATATGATGTTTACGGATGATTGCCTAATTTTTGCTAAAGCTACTAATACTGAAGCTAGGAAAATTGCTAAAGTGCTTAATGACTTTTCCTATGTTTCTAGACAAAAAAATAAACTTTCATAAGTCGTCGCTTTACTTTTCCAATAACACCCTAAATCACACCAAGAGTGATATTGTCCATATCCTCCAAATCCAGCATAAAACCACTATTGGCTTATTCATAATATAATTTTCTAGAAAGACCCTGTTAATGCTAAAGAGCTTATTATTAAGATTCAGAACAAGTTATCCGATTGAAAGGCTAATGCTCTGTCTAAGGCAGGGAGACTCACTCTCATTAAATCAAACAATTATGGTATTCCAAATCATACTATGGCCTATTTTAAGTGCCCTAAAAAGATTACCAAGGCTATTGATAGAGAAAGTAGGAAATTTTTGTGGGAAAAGACTCTAAACTAAACCCTGTTGTGTGGGACAAAGTCTACTGCTCGAAAGAGATTTGAGGGTTTGACATTAGGAAGAGTGTCCAATTCAACAATGCCTGCTTGGCTAAATTACGGTGGAAAGTCCTAACCGAAGATCAAAATTGGTGCGTCCAAATTGTAAAAAATAAGTATTTGAAAAATGATGAATTTTTAAATGTTAAAGTTAGGAAAAATTATTCATATACTTGGAAGGGTATACTCAAGGCTAGAGAAGTTGTTAATATGGGATTGAGATAGGTGGTCGGAAATTGAGAAAATATTATTTTTTTCTGAACCCATAAATGAGTTTTTCCTTTGCCTTTCACCAATCTCTTGTCCAATGCTCAACTTACTAATGTTGATCAAGACTTGAGAGTGAGCTAGTTTATTGTTACTGGTCAATGTGATAGACATTTTTTATCTTCTGTGGTTGATGTTGATGTTGTTAACAAAATTTGTAGTATTCCATTGCCGTTGATCCCTCAAAGTGACTCATGCTGTTGGGGACCAAATGCTAATGGTAAATACTCTGTCAAGTCTGCAACATGGATTCAGAACTCTATCAATAACAATGTTAATTCCAGCAAGCTTCTTAAGAGAATGTGGAACCTTAGCTTGCCTCACAAAGTAGAAATCTTCAGTTGGCTTCTCATTTTGGGTAAACTCCAAACTAGAGACCATTTGGCAAGATATGTTAATAATATGCCTACTATTTGTCCTCTTTGTAATTCAAAAAATGAAAGTCTAAGTCCTCTATTTGTTAACTGTGATTTTGCTAGACATGTGTGGAATATCCCTACTATATCTAATTCATTAAGGATAAATCAAACTCTTAATTTCAATGATCGGTTAAATTCCCTAGATAGTAAAAAAATTGACGACTTGAGTGATTTGAATAAAGCGCTCCTTATTTGTTGGCAGATTTGGAAGGAAAGGAATCTTGTTGTTTTTTCAAAATAAAAATCGAAATTACACAAGAATAGTGAATTCAACGTTCAGTATAGACATGGATTATCTTATAGCAAACCGTTTACTGCCGATTGGGCCTTCTGGTGGCCATATGGCGAAGCCCAGCTCCATTAGGTGGTCTCCCCCTAGAGCTGGTTTTATCAAGCTTAACTTTGACGACTCGGTAATTAATCAGCATGTGACCTTCGGTTTTGTGATTAAAAATGAGAATGGATCCTCTATCATTGTTGGGGCTTGTAGTGTTGGGTAGAATACGATTTATGTGGCAGAATGTTTGGTGCTTTGTGATTGTCTCTGGATGACAAACTTGAGGGGCTTTAAGAAGATCATTGTGGAAGGCAACTCTAAGCTGCTTATTGAGTCTATACGCGGTGCCTATAATGCTCATTGGAGACTGAGGACCATTCTTGATGACATTCGTCGGCTGGCAGGCTTCAGAGGCTAATTTCCTGGCGGATACTGTCACAAGTGTTGATTTCTCAATAAATAATTTTCATGTTTGGGATAGAACTATACCGATGGCTGCTCGTCCAACCTTTCTTTTTAAGGAAAACTAATGAAACATTCAAAAAAACTTCAATTTTAATGAAAAATGACAAATAAAGGTGTAGTGAATAGTACCAGAGAAATGTTAAAATGTGATTTTTCTTTAAAAGTGAACAATATCGTAAGTGTTTCGTTAAAACTCTATTCTAAACGTATGGACGTGTGGCTTTTATCTTGTTTGAAAAGTCAGCAATCTGGAAGATAGGCTTTAGCCTATGCCACATATCAGTCTCTCATTCTACGTGTGGATTTGATCAATTTGGTTGACAGATTCAAGTGTGGATGTATGGCTTTTATTTTGTTTGAAAAGTCAGCCATCTGGCTTTTATTTTGTCCTTATCATTAAAATTCAAATTTTTCAAACCCTTTTCATTAGTTTTTTTTTTTTTCCTTCCCTTTTTCCTCATTTGAATTTGGCACCAATTATCTCCTCATCACCAGTGGTGATTCACCACCATGATGGGCACGGCTTCCGTCATCCATAACGGCGTCCACATCCATCTGAAGCTCAATTCCCGCCTGCCTAGGCTTTCATCGCCATATCCATCCCCAAATTGGAGTAGGCCCCACTTCGTTCACAATCACATCGTTTCCGTCCGTACAGGTCTCTCACTCACTCATCCTTGCTTTAATTTCATATGTGCAATTGCCATCTCTGATTTACATTCTTGTATTGTTGGAATTTGGATTGCAGGCGGCCACTGCCGCCGCGGCCAATCTGCGACGATTGCACGCTCTAGAGCGACTGAGCAGTTTATCCACTTCATGTGACTGTCAGTTTCTAATACTCGTTGGATGCGAAATTGAGATTCGTGAGCAAAAATGTAGTTGCCCACTCGAATTATGCGTATTATTTTCGACATTAGCAAATTAGAAAAAACACCCTCACAAACTATAAAAGTTTCATAAAAATACACTTCAAGAGTTCAATTGGAGGAAAAAAAAACCTCAGCTAGCTAAATGTAATGTTCTAATTGGTTTTTAGTTCCTGAAACCCTTTTATGCCCTTCTACAATTGAAATTCAGGATGGTATTTTTTTCAAAGTATTGGGCTTGAAGTATTTTTCTCTAAAATGTAATGTTATATGTGGTCTAAAATGTAATGTTATCAATCAAATGAGTTCATGTAACATGAGTCTAACGATTTTAGATCCAAAGGACCGACTTTTATGAGAATTTTGTGCAAATTATGTCAAACTGTGGATATTTTTCTGTAGTTTATGTGAACTTTCCACTTGAATCTGCAGAAGAAAAGAGGGGCGATTCTGCGTCATGTGATGGCATTAGTAATGTGGAAATCTCTCATGATGACTCTCCGGAGAAAATTAAGGGGCGCGAAGCTTATGCTGCTTCTGCAAAAACTGTAGCCTTGTGGGTGAGCACCTCTCAGCTTAATTTGAACTGTCTACTTCAACAATGTTGATAAATGTAGCTATTAATTCCCTTAGGTGTGTGCTGCGGTAGCATTTGGTATTGGTGTGGGATTTAAAGACGGAGTTGGCAAGGCGACGGAGTTCATTTCAGGGTATGCAGAGATTTCCACTGTGAAAGCTTTTTAACTGTGGATAGGAAGTTAAACTCCCTGTGTTTTTGAAGCATTAGTTATTTTCTGGTGTCTTAATCAAAATAGGCAACACATACTTTTAAATTGGTGATAATTTCTTATCTGACTGGATGGTTTATACATGATTTTTTTTATTTACTTTATGTGTATATCTTGTAGAGGTCGCACTTGGTGCGATGGCAAGTGTCTTCGCCCATGAGCGGTAGGTCTCGGGTTCGAGACTTGGGAGCAGCCTCTCCATAAATGGGGGTAAGGCTAGACGACATTCACCTCTCCCAGACCCTGCGTAAAGCGGGAGCCTTGTGCACTGGGTACGACCTTTTACTTTATGTGTATATCTTGTGCTGGATTCTGAATGTTAGGATGTATCAGGTATTTACTGGAACAAAGCTTGTCAGTAGACAATCTTTTTGTCTTTGTTCTAGTTTTCAAGTACTTCAAAGTGCCACTTATGTATCAGGTATTTTGCAAACCTTTTAGCATTCAAATTTATGTTAAATAGGTTCTTAATTTTTATGTAAAAGATTGTTTTTGAAAGAACCAAAGCTGTCTGTAATTCATTATGAAAGGTTTGCTCTCTGAACTACAGAATCGGGTACTTTCATATGGTATTGCCGGAGCAGTGGTCTTTCGTTTCCCCAACCACACTTGAGGTAAACTTATAGTTCCCTGTGCATGTGTGTGCTTGTGATCCTATACTTCTTGTTTTTACGTGCTCATTTTGTAATTTCCGGAATGTGTTCTTTTAGAGGTTTGAGGTGGTAAATCTTTTCCTGGCCTCAGTACTCCTTTACTCATCAATCAAGGTGAATCTTCTATTCTGAAAATGGTGTGATAACTATATTTTTTCTTATATATTTTCTCAATGGATTGTTGACTGATTTTAATCCTTAAATTAAATCTGTTTATGCACTTATTGACTTCTTGCCATCAAATGACTCAAAATGCCTTTTTTATTGTTCTAGCTATTTTCCAGTGAAGAAGATGACACTGATCTATCCAACAATTTTATTGTGAAGACATGCCAGAGATTTATCCCTGTCACATGTAATGTTTTTCCTGCGTACTTATTTTCTTCCTACTTCTTAGTTGAAGTGTCGTTTGTTGATTCTTCGTAATTCAAGCTTGGATCAAAATTGAAAATTCTAAATTTATTGGGGCTGATCTGATCCTTGTCTAATAGCTCATTTGAGTTCTGAACTCACTTTTAGTAAATAAACTTGAGCATGAACTTTGAATATAGAAAGGCCTAGGAGGCCATCTTTAGACCGGAATGTTTCAGTTTCGCTAGACTTTGCTTACTTAAATTTACACTACATCATAATAAGAAAGAAAAAGGATGGTGTAAATTGCTTTGTCCTGCAAATTTACATCCTTTTAATTATTTTCCACCTGTAGATCGGCTATCTTGCAAACACTCACTTTGCACTAGCTTCTTTCTGATATATGATCTTAACCCATATCTTTTTTCTGGTGAATTCTTGCAGCTACTTATGATGTCAATCGATTCTTTACATTTCAAGATGGTGTCCGGAAGGTAAGTCGTTGATGGGATCTTCTTAGGCTACAATATTTTATTACACAGTTATGGACATGCAAAAGTCTTTCACTGCACAGATGTAATTTACAACTTTCTCTGGATCAAGATGCAACAGTTTCTGAATCCAAATTGAAAATCAATATTTGTGTTCAATTAATGGTTGCTTGGTTTCTAACAGGTGTCAAACATTTTGGGCAGGCCACACCTTTACTTCTCACGGTAGCAGTTATCGAGCTCAGTGACGTAGCATTCGCTGTAGATTTCCCTACCTACCAGTAATGTCATATATTATGATATATGATGCGCGTTGCCTTTCCACTTACTATTGTAATGGAAATATTGACATGATGCTTCATTTTTCTTGAGGTCGACTCTATACCAGCAGTATTTGGCGTTACTAGGGATCCTTTTATAGTTTCCAGTTCTAATCTTTTTGCCATCGTAGGTAATTCTTGTTAGATGTAGGTTTCAATTGACAATATTTCTGTGAATTAGGTCTAAGTTGCTCTACAGTGACAATCTTATTTCTGGATGTGAGCGCATTTCTGCAGCAGATGATAATTAGACCTTTCCCCTTGAGTGCAGGTTTAAGGTCGCTTTACAGACTCATTTCGGAGGGTATGTCAGACTTGGAGTATTTGCAGGTACAAGCTTGACCTTCTCTCCTTGAATTTCTAGCTCTTTCTGCACAATGAACTAGTTGTTGGAGCAATATTAGAAAATATGAAAAATAACAATATAATTCCAATAATAACAATAATAATAAAGAAATTCACAACATCAATTATATATGAGATTAATATAAACAACTAGAGTGAAAGTTAGAGAACTGACAAACTTGGAGATTGAGGCTTGCATAAATGCAATGTCCTAAAGATAGAATTTCGCCCCTACTCTTGTGCTTGTAGTTCGATAGGCGTCTATCTCCCAGGATTCAACAATCTATAATCCGAAGTCAAAGCACTTCAATCTTCTGACTCTGGCGAACTTCATATATTCCGTACTCTCAAGACACGACTCGGAGTTTGACTAAGAATGAGAGAAATAAAGTGGGGAAACCCTATTTCTCAAGAGTAAAAATTAACTCTAATTTCTCTATATCTAATACCAATGGTTTCATGGGTTTATATAGTATCCAACTTCTACTTATTAAAGAGATGTAACTTTTCACTATAAGTATACATCACTTATTAAGGGAATATCACTTAAACAACATAACCTTTCTAAGAAATTGGTTAACACTATTTTCCATTCAATTATTAAAATTATATATTACAATATTTCATATTATAATATATAATTTCCAACAATCCCCCACATGAATGAAAAATTAGGAAGAATTTGAGAGTACAGGCGGACAAGAGATGCATCGGGAGAGGTGTCTTTTAGACTTGAACCTACCCTAGTGAATACTTATCGGATTTACTTGGTGACGCAGTGAATATAGAATCTTGAACTGTTCACCGTAGTAGTAAACCGAGACAATAAGCAACACACATCACTAATCCTAATATATTCCGGTTCATACGGTTGTGTTCATTTTGGTCCTGAACAAATCCCGGATTCATGAGAGCTTTAGAGAATTTAGCCATCTCATTCTCATAGAAGCGACCCACTTCTACTCTCACATAGGTGACCACTGATTAAGAATAGTCTGCTCTATTCCTCTTATTTATAAGATATCATTGTCATTAAGTATAAATATACAACCTAAAACTTCTGCAGACAACACACTTCTTCCACCATAGGAATGAGGTATATAGTGTGTTAATTTCTTTGAATCATGCCCAACCAGTTTGCCTATTGAACTTAGACCATGGGATCTCCAATCAACTAAGTTAGGTTTCCGCTCGGCTGATTCATTAATTATGTTGGCTTTAGCCTCATTCCTCTCGATGATCAACTTACTCTCTAGTCTAACATTTAATAATTGGATCCACTACTAGGTTGACTATTTTTAATGGTGTGCACAATCCATCTTATGAAACTATATTTCATACGAGAGTAGTTGATTTACAATGTCAAGTCCTCAACCGTACATGTTGGGATTTTAGTTAGTAATTTGCTAATACTTGGGCATACTCCCCCACATTTAAGGTAGTTGTAAGAAGGTCTCTAACCTTGCCATACCTTAAACAATTACTCATTACAGGAGATGACATCTTAAATGTCGTTCAATTAGCAAATTACTTTTAACCAACCCCCACAATTCTTTCATAATTGTAGTTTCTTGTAATGCTATCATTAAATCGATCACATTTTCCACTTTAAGAAGTAAGGAACAATTAAGATAGACTTTATCTATCTTTTTAGGCATTCATGCCTCACTAGAAATTATGAGAAAATCACTTCTTGGCTTTCATTCTTTCCTTACTATGACCAACATGCATGACCCAATGTCCATGTCCAATCATATGCTTACTTAATAAGCATCATTATGTCGAATTCAAATCTGCGAAATGTCTTTTACATTTTCAGTATGGTTTTGTCCTTTTTTGAAAGACCCCCACACTTTCATGATTATTTCTTTATATTAATATCATTTTAAATGACACTCAATATCATCTTGAGCCTCTTATAATTTATAAATATATCACTTCGAAGAAAGCATATAAATGATTTTGCAACATTATTATCACTATATGATAATACATCCAGTCGGTATGTAGAAGTATACATACCAGCCCATGAACACATTTGAATATGTCAATGACTAGTTGGAAAGGTCATACCCTTTCACTATCAAAAGCAACACTTCAAATGACATGCTTTTCCTTTGAATTTCATGGCAGATTTCAATTTTCAATTCCACCACATTACAAAACCATCCATTTGTTAAATAGTTGCATCTTTCTACAACTTAACCTCCACATGGTTCAATATAAGTCTTGGACTTTGACCCCATAATTAAATAAGCGTTTTTCAACGTTGGCAGATAACTCATCTAAAATGAGTTTAGTTTATCATTTTATTTTCGTTGCTTCTCAAAGCCAAATTTATCCACTTTCTGGGTTCTTATCATGACTGGCCATGACTAAAGACTAAACCCAATTTTGCATATGCACACATATGCCTGAGTAATTGTTCAATTTCCTTCATATGTATTCCATTCTTTCCATGAATAAATATGAATAATCATCTTATATTCTATGATACCATGGAAGTTGGGTTCATATCTTCTACTGGAGTTTTCCAAACTGTTTCAATACAAATTTAGAACAACCCCATTTTATTTGGGTAGTAGCTTTCGCTGACATCTTTATGAATATAAGGGTTTTCTCAACAAAACCCGATTAATCATCCTCGTGCCCAATCAAAAATTGATTTCCTTTGTCCCAAGAAAGAAACATTGTATCAGTCCACGAACTGGTACACATTATTGCCTTTTATATTTGCAAATAATGCAAATTTTTGAATCAAGCCATTTCATTTAACCTTAACCGTCACCTCCTTTCTAATAGAAAAGTCAATGCCAAACATACTTGCCAGATATTCATGAATGATGCAATTGAATCATGAGAATCGCATATGTGAAACAAAAGATTCATGATTGCAGTGTAACATATATTATCAATATATCCATGTTTCTCTGAAAATGTCTCAAAACCAATCATGATAATCAAAGAAAATTTAGAATAGCCATATTTGATTTCAGCCCTAACCACGAACCACACTAAACTGATTGGTTAAAGTACTGAATACCTTTTCATGGAGATATCCAGGTCACTTATCAGTAACTCATGAAATAATTTAATTTTGTTCTTTGAAAGAAACACTCTGGGCATCAGCCCATATGACAATTCAAATTTTAACATGGTGGTAAATGGCCAAAGACATCAATACCCTATCACTGTCAAATGTAGAAAAATCTATTTATTAATTCTTTTAATCTCATACGCATGGCAGATTCATTTTAGTGAGAATAACCAAGCAAGAAGGCATATATGTTGTAACATACATATGCAGACAATGAAAGCACACATATCACTGCCAGATGAAAACCGAAAAACATCTTCTAGTATATACACAATGCAATTTCCACTAGTGTGGCAACATACAGACATTATTGTATATATCAAGAATTCAAGCACATCAAATAAACTAATATACATCAATATGCACGTAAAATCCAGCCCCACAAATTTTCCAAAGCAACATCAGAATTTCTTCTACTTAGCATTGAGGGCTACGTTCAATGTTATTGATTTTAACTTCTTCTATTACGTACTCAGACTCATACTCTCTAATATTGCAAGAGAAAAAAATTCTATCTTTAGATTGTTGGAGCAATATTAGAAAATATGAAAAATAACAATATAATTCCAATAATAACAATAATAATAAAGAAATTCACAACATCAATTATATATGAGATTAATATAAACAACTAGAGTGAAAGTTAGAGAACTGACAAACTTGGAGATTGAGGCTTGCATAAATGCAATGTCCTAAAGATAGAATTTTGCCCCTACTCTTGTGCTTGTAGTTCGATAGGCGTCTATCTCCCAGGATTCAACAATCTATAATCCAAAGTCAAAGCACTTCAATCTTCGGACTCTGGCGAACTTCATATATTCCGTACTCTCAAGACACGACTCGGAGTTTGACTAAGAATGAGAGAAATAAAGTGGGGAAACCCTATTTCTCAAGAGTAAAAATTAACTCTAATTTCTCTATATCTAATACCAATGGTTTCATGGGTTTATATAGAATCCAACTTCTACTTATTAAAGAGATGTAACTTTTCACCATAAGTATACATCACTTATCAAGGGAATATCACTTAAACAACATAACCTTTCTAAGAAATTGGTTAACACTATTTTTCATTCAATTATTAAAATTATATATTACAATATTTCATATTATAATATATAATTTCCAACACTAGTGATGATCTACCCATAGATAACCATCAGCACAGGGACTCACTCGATTAAACTGTTAATTCCAAATTTAAGGTTCTTTGTTTCCTTTTGAAAGTTGAATCCAATAAGGTTACTTATTGTTCCGATTCTCTCGTTTCAGCCTTCAATTGCTGTTGTTTTGAGCTTTATCGGGTGTAAGCTGATCCTGGATTTTTTTTGGTGCGTATTTCAAGTACTATTGTATTTGTACAAAATCTTCAATCCATCCTAAATTCACCTTTTCTCAACTCCTCGACAGGGTTCCACGTATCGACCGAGGTGTCTCTTGGCTTTGTAGCTACAAGTACAAATAAAAAGGGGAGAATGAACTTAGCCTCATATTGTAATAGCAATAATGGATTTGCTTTCAATGAAAATCGAACTTAAGACCTCTCACGTACAAATACAAATAAAAAGAAATATCATTAAATTATAATATTAAATGATAAAATTACAAATACAAATGAAAATAAATATCATTAGATTAGAATATTAAGTGGCAAAATTTTCTATTAGTACGAATAAGGGGAAACACTACTCTACCCGACCCAAGATTCTAGACTCCTCCCGACTTCCTTTTGCTATACCGACTGATTAGTGGGGCTACCGGAATGATTAGTTCACAATATTAAAAACTCGGATAAGGTCGCCATGTCAACGCTCCTCTCTAACCGTCCGACCAATGCCAAAACCCAGATCATACGAGGAACAAATCCAACGGACGACAAATCAAGTCCACGATCTCTATCATGCACCGCCAAAGCGCGAAAGCTCGCGCACGCGAATAGTAAACAGTAACGCAACCATTTCGTCACTGCTGACTCCACCAACGACTCACACTCCCCTATAAAACGACCACCCGGTCTGTACACAGACAACATTCTGCGCCAAATTCTGATTGCCAAAAAAGAAAAAAAAAACTTATTTCTGCAGAGCTCCAAAAATGGCTTACAGGTACGATTTCTCATCTTTATGACTAACGAAAGACATGACATAAAATCGAGTGCAATGACGGTTTAAGATTTATATAGTCGATAAGATTTTGTTGTTGTTGTAGTATTTTAACTGGGTTCGTCTGAATTTCTGATTTTTATCTTCTGGGTGTTGCAGGCATGAGGACCTTCCTCCACCTTTGGATTCCACTTCCTCCCCACCTCCTCTCTTTGACGGCACTACAAGGTTTACCTCTTTCCTCTACATTTTTGGTCTGATATAATATATCGATCAGCCGTACGGTGAAATACTATCATTTTCAGCAATTCGAATTTTGTAATTTGATCATTTCGCCATCTGTCTCGTCGGAATTTCAGTTTTGGTCACTGATTACCATGTTTTGATGTGTACTGGTTGCTTGTGTTTTGAAGGTTGTACGTAAATTACTCATGTCCATTTGCGCAGCGGGTTTGGATCACTAGGAACTATAAGGTTTGTTTAGCTCCTCTCTTTTTTCAGCCGTATTTTCTGTTTTTGGAGCTTCTGGCAAAGACCCTGTTATATGATAATTCAATTGTTTCTTTGAGAAATGATGAAAATACAAACCCCGATTGCTGAAATTAAGTTTTGAAGATTTTGTCGTTGATATGTCGTCGTTATCTGATTTTAATCATTACATCAATTGGGGGATTTGTTAAATCCTCATTCCCGCCATGTTTGTTTTCTTCATTTGGTAAATTGCAAATTAATAGAGTCCATATCGATTATTTTGTCTTATTGTTTGTTTTTGTTGAAATTTTTGAGTTGCAGGGTTTGCAAGACAAGATTAAGCTAGTCCCTATAAATCTTCAAAACAGGCCTGATTGGTACAAGGAAAAGGTCTACCCTGGAAACAAGGTAAAATTTTGAACAAAAATTAGGGTTCTTTCTTCTTTGCTGTCATTGATTATCTATGGAAAATTTGGTGAAGCTGGATAAATCTGTTGATCGGTTCTTTTTATAGGTGCCAGCTCTGGAGCACAATGGAAAAGTCATTGGAGAAAGTCTTGATCTGATCAAATACATCGATAGCAACTTCGAAGGGCCTTCACTTTCCCCCAAGGTAGGATATCCAGAATTGGATTGTGCCTCAAGTAACATGTCTTTGTCTATCAGAAATTTGACCAAAGTGGTGCTATTTGTAGGACGATCCTGAGAGAAAAAAGTTTGGTGAAGAATTGTTAACTTACGTCGATACCTTCACGGGGTCCTTGTATCGCTCATTCAAAGGAGACGCGGTAAAAGCAGCTGGTAAGACTTGTAAGGTTCTCCCATCAGGTGACCGTTTTTGTTGATGAATTTACACTGACCGAATTTGGTTATCTGCACCAGATGAGCAGTTTGATTACTTGGAAAATGCTCTTAAGAAATTTGATGACGGGCCATATTTTCTGGGCCAGTTCAGTTTGGTAAGTTGAATGTACAACTATGTATGTATATCTAATAAAATGAGCTAGCAAAATGCTCTTTTGTAAGCAATACAGCAACACAGAGTGGTTAAGTAATGGATAGAAACATGTGTTCTGCAGGTGGACATAGCCTATATCCCGTTTATTGAGCGATTCCAAGTCTTCTTATCAGACGTATTCAAGTATGACATCACAGCAGGGAGGCCCAAACTAGCAGCATGGTTCGAGGTACACTAACAGACCATAGAATTGCATATAGAAAGTTATGAGCTGTACTCCATGTATGGTTAATTGTCTCTCGTCTGTTAAAAAAACGAACTTAAACATTTCATGAGAGCTAGGTGGTCAGGTAGTTTCCAAACAAGAACTCTATGCTAAAAACAGACTGAGCTGGCTGATCACGTAGTTTCCGAGCAAGCACTCTTAAGCTAAAAGCACTCTGTAAACCATTATCTTAAATTCAGATTTGATAGAGCGACGAGTTCCTGTATATCATAGGTTTTTTGGTAACAGATGGTGATTGTTCTGGTTGTTATATATCCTTCTGCAGGAAATCAATAAGATTGAGGCATACAAGGTAACCAAAACTGATCCAAAGGAGCTTGTTGCATTCTACAAGAAACGCTTCCTGGTACATTCTCTTTTGCTGACCTGAATACGAAATTCATCCTTCTTCTATATTCGTTATGCTGGTTTGCTAACTGCCGTGAAATACTTTTTGTTACAGGAGCAGCAGTAAACTTGTGAGCTATTCTGCTTTGGACGTGGTATAAATAAGTGGCTCAGGCCACGCACAGATTGTTCGCCGTTCGCCGGCCTAATTATGTATGCAGATTATGTTGTCTGTTATAGACATGGACTTGTCTGGATATGGATTTGTGTAAGTATCATTGTTACATCAATAAAATTCAGATCATTGGCAGTGCGTATTCTCTCGTAATCTATCAACTATTTCTTCAGAAGAGGCATTTCTCTTGCAAATGAAAGAACAATTACCAAAGAATAAAAGACCAAACCACGTTGGCCAAATTGTTTTCCTACAGGCCATTATGCAAAGATTTTTTTTTTTCAAAAAATGAGAATTAGTTGTGGGATCCACTACACTATCTAACCTTAACGATCTGAACCATTTTTTTTTTCAAAAAAAAAAAAAAAGAGAATTAGTTGTGGGACCACTCCACATTCAACTTTAACGTTCTGAACCATCTATTTTGTAAGTCTCAATTCATATATCATCTTTACAAAAATTCAATTCAATATGAAACTATTTGCCTATATAATTATCATGATGAAATTTTATTATTTCCTATAGAACAAAGTGTTTGTTAATTTCTTTGAACTCATGTCTTCAATATTTCTGATTTGGTTAATATCTTGCAATGATGATCTATGAGGTGCAATTTGAAAAGTAGCTGGTTCAGATTATTAAAGTTCGATGTGGTGTGGGCCTCATAACTATCCCCATTTAAAAAAAAATGGAGATCTCTTCCCTTAAACAATTCTTATTTTCCTAATATGTATTTTTTGAGTTGGAACTAGGAAGTTCTCCAATTAAAACAAGGCAAAATGTTTCTAATATCATGTCGTAATGAAAAATATATATAGAATCAATGGCCACGTGTCTTGAGTTTGGAGTTAGTGTATGTGATTGAACAATTTTTTTGCGTCCTAAGTTCGGAGGTTAGTGCGAACAAAAAATCACCGTTGTAATATTCTATACAATTTTTTTTGGATAAATTACAAAAACTATCTCAACTATTGAGTCAACCACAATTTCATATTTCATTTTTAAAACATTTCAATGTCATATCTTATCTTACGAATTTGTTGCAATGTTATACTTCTGTTACTTTATCTGTCAATTCCTTCGATAAATGCTGACTTGGTTTATGTTGAGTCCCACTCCCTCCACGTATGGACTTCCACATTGGTTTCTGAAACACATGGATCATCTAAAAGGATGACACGTGTATATTACAATAAGAATAGAAAATAAAAAAAATTGAAAAAAAATTTAGCTCGTAAACCGTGCAATTCCATTTCAATTTCACTCTAGTTCCCAAATCAAAGAAGAACCGTAACCCTAATTTCATATCACCCGTCCCAAATCACGATCAATAGTTCGTTTAGCAAAAACCCTAAGTTCGTCTCATTGTCGCCTGCCTTCTCTTTGTTCGTTTTTGTTGAAAACCCTAAGTGGCATTGGTTTTCGAAGGATTTGATAGTATTTCAAAAGATTCGAAATGGGGTGGAATGTGCGCAATGATCCCGAGGAAATGACGCCTACCTACTGTAAGTACAAATTTCAGTTTGTTTTGTGTTTTGTTGCTTCCTTTTTTTATTCCTATTCTTCTGGGTTTGTTGATTCCAAAATCTTTGTTGGCGATGGGTGGGTTTTGTTGATTGTTTATTCGAAATGCTTACTGAGATGTTGTAGAATGGGGGTCTTTTGGGTGCTTTGTTTATTGTTGTCAAGAAAATGTAGTTTGTTTATTGTGATTTGGATAATTGTTTAACAAAAAATTTGGTGTTTGTTCTAATTTGGGTGTTTTTGTTTTGTTTATTCTAATGTTGGATAATGGAGGGTCCTTTTGGTACATTGTTTGTTGGAGATGGGTGAGTTGTTTTCTTTGTTTATTCAAAATGCTTACTGATTTGTTGGATAATGGGGTCCTTTTGGGTCCTCTTGTGCTTTTTTCTGTGATGTGTTTTGTCCTTTACTTTGCTATTGGCGGTTGAATATGTTGAATTGCAATTGTTACATTTGGGGTTGGTGTGGTCCTAAGGTTTGTTGGCTGCACTAACTAGGGTTCTTTTGGTGCTTCATTTGTTGGTGAATAAGATGTAGTCTTTTCTTGTTTATTCAAAATGCTTGCTAATTCGTTGGATAATGGGGTCCTTTTGTGTCCTCTTGTGCTTTTTTCTATGATGTGATTTTTCCTTTACTTTGTTTACATTTGGGGTGGGTTGTGGTCCTAGAGTTTAGGACAAAAACTTGTAAACCAAGAAAAAGAAAGGGGTTGCTAGCTATTGAAGGACCCTTAAATAATAAGAGGTGTTTATTGAAGAATAGGTGTCTGTTATGTGCTCGAATGATGGTTTACACCAAGAAGAGGTGGCTGGTAAAAGTGTGGCTGAGGTGGTTGGTACAAGTGTGACTGAGGTGGGTGTAACATGTGTGAATGAGGTTGAAGATGTACAAGTTGCTCGAGAAGGAGGTTTAGAAGATGTACAAGTTGCTGAACAAAGTGGTCTAAAAGATGTACAAGTTCCTAAAAAAGGTGTACAAGTTGGTGAAGAAGATGTAGAAAATGTACATGTTGAAGATTCAATGAAGAAGGTGATGGGGAAGATGTTGATACCTTCTTTGATGTACCTATCGATTTTGAAGGAGACTGACTTTGTAGAGAGTGATAAAGATAACTCAAAATTTGTCAAGTTTGATGGGATTCAGCAAGCAGATGAGGTGCAATATGAGCAAAGAAAAGGAAGAAAAAAAAAGGCAAACTGAAGAGAGCACTGAAGGAGAAGAAGAGTAA